ATTGATTTTTTCATTTAAAAAAAAATTTCATCTCAATGCCTATGAGTCGCTTCATTCCTTTTTCCTTCAGCCACTTGTGGCTGTCATAAAATGCAAAATATTGATATCATGAAAGTGGCTTTACAAACCCTAAGGACTTTTTGCGGTTGACATATGTTACAAATATTTAATTATATCAAATCCGTTGCAATGTCTAAATACAAAAACTCTCCCTTTTTATTAGAACAAACAGAAAAAAATTAATGAATAAGTCTATAATAGGTATGAGCAGAAGTCATTTATGAGGGTGACCAAGTAAGTCAAACACTTGTCAAAATCAGATTTATAATTGTGTTACCATCCACGAGAATAGGATTTTTGGTTAAAAGTTTGACTGATATGAATACCCACTAGATAGTGAATTAAAGATAAAAAAGTCCTTAAAGTAATACTATGACTAATAACGTATAAAAGCTGTAACGAAATGTATGATTTAAATACTTAAAGTTACGAAATACTTATTTAAAAAAAAAAATAAATAATAGAAAATATATTTTTATTTTTCACAAAATTTATAAAAATTTATGTAAAATATATTAAAGCTAAGCAACTTATATGTCTCATAGTGAGTTTTTATTTGTTTTAAAGTACTATCATTTCTATTTAAACGAAACCTTAAAATTTATTTTTATTTTTTACGTTAACATAAAAATATCCTCTGGCTATGTACTTAAGGAAAATATTCAATCTCCAAATAAAGTTGATTGGAATCGATTTTGTCAAAATTACATACATAAAATCAGAAGCAGCATACATGTTTTTATTTAAAATACAAAAAATCAAATTTTTTTGGTTTTAATTAATAATAAAAACAATTGTTCAACGAATTAGTATAGATATATTACCGAATTTAGTCATCCTAAATATTTTGATAGCCATTTATATCAACATAAGGATATAAATCTGAGTATATAAAATCAAATATAACCTACTGATATGGTTTAAATGAACCACAAAATGATTATTTTATACCACAGACATATTATCTTTTAATTATTAGAATAATATATATTGCTTTACATATATTTTGTATATAGTTAAATTCTTTAATATGTTAATATAGAGATTTAAACTCTATTTTAACAATTCAATAATATAAGTTCTTACAGAAAGCACTATAGATATTTTGTCAATTAAAGAGATATGTATTAATAAGCTATACTTTACTTACAATTCAATAGCCTAATTGTTAGCAAATTTATCAAAGCGCTAACTTTATGATTGACATCAACTTGTTCAACTCTAAAATATACTCAAATCACAATTGATATATAACAATAAATAACAGATAAAATGCTTGTAAAAATGATTGTTACAACTCAAGTTTTAAATTATCCCACAGGAATTTCGCAACGAACATTTTCACCCTCTCCAGAACACAACATTAACGCTAACAGCAAGAGTCATTTCAGTAGAGCTCTGCCGCTTTTAACAACGAAATTTGTAGTTTCAACAAGCAATAAAACCCACACCACAAGTTAGCAGCAGCAACAACATCAGCAACGGCAACAGCAACAGCAACAGCAACTGTAGTACCAGAACAGCCGCAGCAACCAACCACAAGCAACTTCCTCTGCTTACAGCGAAACTAAATTGCAACTCCAACGAAGTCAGCATCAAAGGTAAGTCAGGAAGCCACTTACGTAGCCTCACAATTTGTTGACACATTTCTGTGATTATATACATCAGATGTTGTTGTTACGTCCTCGTCCTTGGGGAAATATTAGATAAGAATATGAAATACTTGAAAGTGAAATTGATTGATAAAAAAATAAAAAAGGCACTTTATTGCCAATTGTACAACAGCAGCAACAAGTTGTTGACAAGTTTTTTTTGTATTAAAAGACAAACTCTTGGACGATAAGTAGAATAATATAACTAATTTCATAAATTTGATTTACGATTTATGAGAAATAGATAACGTTCTATACAATTTTAATTATAATTATAATGCCATATACTTGTAATGTAATTCGAACCCCACTGCGTATAAGTGATTTTTTATTAATTATTCTCATACTTTTAAAATATAAGAAAATGATAATTCAAATATATAGTATATAGTATTTTAGTGTGTGTACTAACTATATATTTATAAAGTATTCTCATATTTTCAAAATATAAGAATTATTATGTTGAGGCTAGTTGAGTCATTGCACTTGAGAACTTTTTTTCTCTATTAACTGCAGGATTTCTTCATAACCCCTCTTTACGACTTGACTTGATTATTGTTTACCACTTCTTCAAACTAAGCAATAAGTGACCTCAGATCTGCATACCTTCCCGATGAGCCTGTAACCATTCTGAGATTCGATAAAGCGTTGTTGGTAAACCTGTCAGTATTCGTGAATATATATATATACTGCATATACTTTGTAATATATGTATACTTTTTAATGCATTTATAATATATATATAAATATATGTATATACTAATTGGCTTTAATATTTTCATCTACCAGTATATCTTTTTGTTCAGAAATTTGTGTTGTCATTGCTCCGTATTTTGAAGTCTAAAATTTATGTAATGCCATAGAGTTTTTTGTTTCATGAAATTATTTTTATATTCGTTTAAATAATACATAAATATTACTTTATAAATAAATATTATTAAGTCAAAACAATGTAGGTGATAATAATTTAAGGCACTCAATGTCAAGGAGGTCTGAAATGTATCTACTTCTTTAAATTAACAAATATTAAAAAATTTTGTATAAAGTCATAGTTTTCTGTTTTAGATACTGGAATAAACTGCTCGATGTAATGTTAATCAATTAGTAATAATTAGTACACTTCATTGAAATTACTATTGAATATAAGAACAGAATTAATTTGCACGGAACTATTTCAGTATTTTCAAACAGTTTTGATACTTTAAGGTAATTCCATAGCATTATGGTTATCTAAATAATTGTTGCATATGAGCACCTCCTCAGTGTGAAATGCAGTATTACAGAATAATTAAGTCGAATTACTACAAATAAACACTCAATGCAATACTAATAGTAATGCCTAATGGACTAATTTTCCATTGCAATGAAATCGAAACCATATGGTAACCTATAATTTGAATCGCAAGTAATACTCGTACAACAACTGGTAATGATTTTGTATTGAAAATACGTTTAAAGTATGCAAACTATTAAAACATTAAATATATAGTACTTAAGATTGAAAATGGAAGCAAAGGATTTATTTTTTTTTTATTAAATATTAAATTTGTGGACTTTAAAATAATTGTGTTAATGTGGGGGATATTTACTCAGTATGATATTATTATGGTAGTCACAAATTGTTAGTAATTTAGAGTGAACTTCTATAATGTCTTTCATTAATAATGTGTACTAATGTCAACATAGAATTGAGAATAAACGGGATACCAGCTCCCAACGCAGCGGAGCACTGCGACTATGGTTGAACCTTTGTGCTGCAATAGACCCTAACAGAAGATATTTCACCTTTCGAATGAAACCCAGAATGTCGGCCATTGAGGACCTCCTAATGTCAGAAGGAGCACTCGACCCAGTGACCTCCTCCTGACTCAGATCAAGTCTGGGCAATCACAGAGAATGTGACGGAAACTCTGCTTCTAAACAGAATCAACAATCTATATCTTCGGACAGAACCATTTTGTTAAGCTGATAACAAATTACATAGTGACCCGTTATATATCCCACCAGCAACCTTAACTCTGGTTTGCTGAAGAAGGATACCTTACCATAACTGTAGGGATGAACCAGCTCTTTAGCCTGACGGTTACTTGGAATGTCGCGCCAGTAGCAACTTCTCTCGACTGAAAACCATTCATCAATCAGAGACCTAGTTGTAGATCAACTTAATTCACAATATGGTTACGGTTCACAGATTTGAGTGACATATCCTGTCTACGCAAGACTGTCGGCAGACTCATTACCATTGATTCCTGTGTGACCAGGCATCCAGCAAAGCGTTACTTTGGATTCGCTTGCCAGCTGCTGCAGTTTGTCATAGCAGTTTAATAAAAGTTTTGAGTAAAACTAATAGTATCCAGGAGGATAATGCTTTGATTGCTGCTTGACTATCTGAGTAAGTACAGATACGGGTGCCTTTTCACCCGGCCCACTGCCTTTCTGCTTGAAAAACAGTGGGCCATATGCCCAGCGCGAGCGAGTTTTCAGTGTTAGGAACAAATATCCCTGCATTAACTCCTTATTTGGTTTTTGAACCGTCGGTGTACTATGAAATCACTTTTGGTTCTATTCCAGAAGTGCCATGTTCCTAGTAAATATGTGCGACATATTTATAACCATAAAAATATCGTATAATTATGTTTGTTAATTTCATGAATAAAAAAACAAAAAATATAACATTTTTAGGAAATAATAATAAGAAGAAATAATAGTAATAATAATAAAAATCTACATAATATCATTGAAATCAAGCACTTAACACCTTTTAAACTTCTTATCTGCTAATCAATCAAACGTTTTCTATATCAAATAAACATAGAACGCACATCGGGTTTAGATGTTTTTATTTGGAAAAAAAATAAAAAATGAAACAAAAAATAAAATAATACATTTTTATTAAAAAATTCGTGATTTGTAGATTTCCAGAACTGAACTGAGCATGAAACACAAATTTTTTCCTTCGATTTATTTATTTTAAATATATCATTTGTGTCGATGGAGTGTTTCATAAATATTCAAATATTTCTGTTCTCATTTTAGACACATTGTATGCTAATCTATGAGATTGCAGTTTAAATTTCAATGTCAATAATTGAATTAATTAATTAAAATTAAAAGCGGAATCATCATATCCAACAAAAACAGAATTTAAAACGAAGTCAGACGAAAATTAACACAGTGAAATCAATGAGTCAAATGGCGCGAACGCGAAATCTTTTTTAAATCAGTTGCGTGTCAAAAAATTTAAAATAGTTAAACTCGAGACTAAGTCAATGAAAATTATACAAAAAATTTAAAAACAAAAAAATAACAATAAAAAATAAGCAATATTTACATACTTATGTATGTAATTAAAAAAACGTGTCTTTTTAGTTTTAAATTAGCAAATACGATACTTAAAGTGACGTGTGTTTGCATACGTCTCGGAGGAATAAATCACATTGATTCGCGAATGATATATTGCAGTTTAATATAATCAAATTATCGATTAAAGCTAATTATCATTAATTTATTAATTTATCAACAACTGTTGCTTGTTACATTGTATGGGCATCAAAAAAGCAAATGAATTAAACTGGCATAAATTGGCATATCTAAACAAATAATTCAATTGTAAGTATAAGCAATTATGAAGCAAATACATAAAATATATTTTAATTGTTGCAATCACACAATGGTGGCACGCGTACTAATAAGAAAACAGTAGATACATTCTAGTACTATTCTCAGCTTTTCAAAAAATTGGAATATATTCGACATGTGCGAGTCGCTTGACTAAACACGTGAGCGAATTTAATCAAATGCATTGCATCTAACACATTGCATTTAATTTGTGGTCTACACTCAATTTCATATTTCTCTAAAACTTTTATTTTATAGAAATCATTTTATCTATTCCGAAATTCAATTTTAATTTGGAAAATTTCTAAATAGGCATCCGATCTAGAACTAGCCATGTAGTCTACATGACACCAAAGCTGGAAATCGACACTTGAAATTCTACTCTTTACCTAACTTGCAGGGGATCGTGGTCTGTGATTGGTCTCGAGACACTTTCATGCAGATGGTAACTGCATCATCACCCTTGAGATGATGCAGTTACCATTTATTCAAATGGCTCTCTATGTATGGATATAAGATGTATTAATTTTAGTCTCTAGCAATCATAGAGAGTAAAAATAAACAAGAGGCATACATATAAGGCAACCTCTTTAAAAATTCTCAACTCTCTAAAACTTGCAGCGTCTTTTAAGCGGGGTGCAGACAATCACCCTTATTCCTCAAATTCTTCAAAAATTTTGCTTGAATGACAACTTTTGAATGTGAGCTTGTTAAAGTTCGGTTGCTAGAATAAATTTGAGCAAGAGAGAGCGCAACTTGAATGACATTCAAAAATAGTGCAGATTTTTCTCACATAATTGAAGCCATAAAAATAATAAGAATAAAAAAATAATAAGATAAAACTTATTAAAAGATAGACTTTTTGATGTCTTAATACATTTGCAAGAAATTCAGTTGCTAAGAATGGGTCCTTTATTAAACATCAACTTAATGAACAATTTTAAGAATATATTGCCTTCATATCGCCAACATCATGCAAATTGTTACTGAATTCTTTCTGTACTGAAATTGTTAATAAAAGATGGGAAAACTCAACGATATGTAGGCATCTGTATGGACTGATACACCGTAGAGATATCAATCTTTTGGTAGGTTACTTACAGGTCTACTGTAAATAGGGAACAATGCTAAAAGATAAGGTCTCCCTTTTAATCAAATCTATCGCAGCTGTGGGGAAGACGATAAAAATGCCTCTCATCTACTATGTTTTTGCCCAGCTCATGCATGGCGGCGACTTAATACTTTAGGAGCGCATTTTCTTGAGGACCTTGACTAATTACAGGACCTGATACTAAATAGCATTTTATGCTTCGCCTAGGTTCTAGATGGTT